TTATTACACAACCTGCCTAGTTAACCAAATTAACCTAGTTAAGCCTTTAAATGTCACTTTAAGCTGTATAGAAGTGTCTTAAAAAAATATCTAGTGAAATATTATTTACTGTCATCATGGCAAAGATAAAAGTAATCAGTTATTAGAAAGGAGTTATTAAAAGTATTATGTTTATAAATGTGTTAAAAAATCTTCTCTCCCATAAACAGTAACTGGGGGAAACAATTAAACAGGGGGTGGGGGGTGGGGTTTTGGAGGGGGGTAATTCCGGGGGCCTAATAGTTCTGACTTCAACTGTATAAAAGTTTTTCTATTCAAAACTATGTTGATAGTAAAGTTATGTGATACCATAATTGAATAAATATATTAAATTAAAATAAATTCAAATTAAAAATAAAAATCTGAATCATGGATGTCTGCTATTTACAATTTTTTTTGTTAACAATTGGCAAACAATATAATTCTACTCATTAATGTGAATCAGAAACTCACAGAGTATGAACTCCACACTAGACAGTTGTATCCTCAGCAAGCCTTTCACAGTGTTTCATAAACTGAATTGTATTGATTAAAAATGAAGCCTGGGGATAAAAAACAGAGTGCTACCAGTGTGTCACGCACAACAGCTCGGACAGGTATTACCCAAAGCTTGTTATCATGCTGTTATACAATATCCCGCTACCTTTAAGAATGTTAAAGTTGGCAGCCTGCCACGGATAATGATATCAAAAGTGAATTTGATGCGTGCAATTCAATCGTTGCAAAAGAAAACTGGCTGGGAGATTAAAATTAGGTTCTAAATGCTATCTGGGGCTGCCGTAGAATGAGGATTGACATGAAACATTGGAGGAAGAAAAAAAAATGCAAATAGATTGAGCAATTAGATGGCATTCTTACTGGTACTGCCATGGCAATACAGACAGCGCAGATAATGCACTACACTCTTCCAATGCGTGCACCTCTCTGCTCTCATTTTCTCTTGATTTTTCACTAGTTTCTTCCTTCTCTCCACACCACTAGCACACAACTATGCTGTTTGTAGGTAAGAATCCGATTGCACATTTCAACTGAAGTCTAGACTCTGGTCTCTCAGGTCTGCTGCTATGAATAGAGTTATTGATATGGATACTGTAGGTGTTGTTGAATGTGCACTTGTCAGTGTGTAATTAACGATTCCACCTATTCATAGTTCTTCATAGTGACGAGTAAAAAGAAATGCTGATCGAACCACATTGAGAATGTTTTTTGTTGCAACCTTGAGCTACGCTTGATTAAATTAGAGCTTATTTAAAACGGGATGCGGAACAAAAACATTTTGACAACCCCTGTGATTCGAGCTGCAAATCAATGAAATAAATTACAAACTTCTGGAGTGTTTGACAAATGTTTTCCTTTACTTTATCACACTTGTCAGCGCCATTAAATTTTCTATTTTAGCTTAAAATGTTTTCTTCTAGAAATATGTCCTTCTTGTCTTCTTAATGCATGCTATTTACATTGAATTGAAGTTATTAATGCTATAAGCCTTTATTTTATGATTTTATTTTAAGCCATGATTTTACTCTTAATCTGTTCTTTTGTAAGCCTTTATAGTCTAATAAAATTCACAGTAGTTCTGAATCCAACCACACTGATTGATCTATAATGCTGTAATTACTATATATATATATATATATATATATATATATATATATATATATGCAACCACATACAACCAGCAAAGTTTCAAAGATCCTTGCTTAACTGTCTGATTGTCAGCTTATGATTTGAATCCAAGGCGAAAGAAAGTAGTTCCTTATACAAAAGGGTTTTTGAAACTCTCCATGTTTGATTTTGTTTTTATATACACAATTATGCCGTCAAACTGTTGTATAAACGCAATATCACACTCATAGCAGTGCTATATGGCTGTATATCGGTATTGGTGGGGGCACTAAGGCTCTCGGCCTGCGACCTCGTGCCAACGCATGCCTCCCACCAGTGCCAATATACAGCCCTCTATATATGCACTCTCACTCCCTCTCTGAATCAAATTTAATTTAATTATTCAATTCAATTCAATTAAAAAAAACTTTATTAGCATGGCTTGTTAGGTATTGTCAGAGCCTTGCAGATGACATAAACAATGAACTAATGTTGCATATTGTTTGGGATGTCCAGATCTAATCACGTGATCGGAAATTGGGCCCTATCACACGGTTTCAGACTCGATCGGAATTAGACGTTACCGCTCGATCAGGACTCGAATATATATGTATATTATATATAATCTCATTATTTAACACATCAATAGTTATGTGGTGGCACAGAGTTAGACCTCTTTCTTGACTTCACACAGAAACAGCAACATGCAGCATGACATCCCTTTGTTGCAGAAACGTTATTGGTCAAATGCCGGTGTTAGGGGTACCCCTGCTGTTAAATGCAGCCCCTCTGAAATGTGCATTTATTAACTGAGGTAAAAAAGAAAATATATATAACAATAATAGTGTTAGGACACTAATGAGAGTGACTGTGGTGAGTTCATGAATGGAACCCTTCCCTTACAGAAGATAAATAAATAAATACAATACAATTCAATACCAATGAGATTAGTTAATTGTTTGAGGTGTGGTTTAGTTTAAAACAGCAACAACAATTTTATGTGCTCCATGTAGTCTAAATGTCTGATTAAAACCCACCAAAAAGTCTAATTTTAGGCTATATTACAGTCAATATTTTTATTTTACATATATTTGTAAACCTAGTGTGTTTTAAAATGCATTTCACTTCTTGTTCTTGTATTATCCATCAAAATAATTTTGATTTTTTAAGCCTTTGATTTTTGTTTCAAATGTAGACTGAGAATGTTAATGAAAGTCTATGAGGGGTTGCATTTTGAAGCAGGGGTGCGTTTCTCTGCACAACATCGGAAAAGTATTAGATGGAAGCAACTTGAAGAGGAAAGCAAGAGTGTGTCTATAGTTTGGATGGATTTGATAAAGTTGATGATGACAACATTGCCATAGCGAACTGTAAGATATGTAAATTTTGGATTGCCTGCTGGGTATTATTAGTTGAGATAATATTTGTTTTTTATATTAGATTTTTAAAGTCCAACAGTGAAGAATTTATGTTATTTATTACTTGATTGTTCAAGGTATACCTCACAGAAGGGCTCTGTTTGTTAACAGAGTTGTTGAATGTTAAAATAAGGTGAATTAAATAAAAAATAAAGAACATCCTGGATCTGTTTCTGCGCTCTTCTTTATTCTTTTTATATATTGTAGAAGTTGGTACTCAAAATCAAATGACTCGGACTCGAGGGCAAAAAAACCTGATTGGGACATCTTCAGTGATTATATAATACGTATACATCCAGTACAATCATTACTACAACTTCTGAAAGTGAACAGCCATATGTTGCATAAAACTAATCAGAATGTTTAACAATGTCAATTATGAAAATTTATAAAATGTATATCACCACCACTTTGAACATCAAGAAAAATTGTGAAAACAAAAACACTTGAAAACACCTCTTTGCTGTTTCATTGCTTTCTTAACATGATTGATGGCTTGATTGCTTGGTCATAAAGTATGTTTTTAGCATACTGTGCATACTAAAATCAGTACAGGGAAAAAAAAGAAAAAACATGTCCACTACAATTATATTTGTGTATTTGATGTATTATTCACAGATAATTTAGATTTTTTTCTGTACTGTATATGTTTAGTTTTTATTTTATTTTAATAACAATCAGTTAACTGTGTACATGTACTGTAAGCACTTACCAGGGAAATACACATAAAACACAGTTAGACTTAACAATCAGCTCAGCCAAAGAAGGAGAAAAGCAGGATGCTCAGGAGTTCATTTGCATTTCGCTAACTTAAGATGACTGACGGGTTAATGCAATAGAATGCAACAAAATGATTGCACTCATAAATCACTACAAATACTCATACACAGATGGATGAGTATTCGCTGTGATTTATGGGTGGGCAGCTGGACAACGACAATGACATTGCTCTATTTTGTGGTGTTACTTATGTGCTTGTTACTTTTTTAAGCTTTCTGTATTTATTTTGTCTGGATTTTTCCCCAAATATATTATTGCCTGAAAATGTCAAATGTAAGCAAAGGAGTCATGATAATGAAAAACAGCTTAAATCATAGACTTAAGACTGCTGTTCTCGATTTATGAACACAGGGGGCGCTGTTTGTGTGTGAAATCCAACATGCGCTAGAGACAGGCTTAATTCACAAAAACAGTACGACCAGTTGATTCATTCTGTTAAACAAAGACTCAAAAATGAAGATACTGTAACTTTTTTCCTATCTATCTATCTATCTATCTATCTATCTATCTATCTATCTATCTATCTATCTATCTATCTATCTATCTATCTATCTATCTATCTATTATGAGCGACACAGATAGATAGATAGATAGACAGACAGATAGATGGATAGATGGATGGATGGATAGATGGATAGATAGATGGATAGATAGATGGATAAATGATTCATATGCTACTTCAGTTATTGAGTAAGGTCTCTTAAACAAAATAAAACAAAAGAATGAAAATAGCTAAATGAACCGTGTGAGTAGATATATCTAATAGGCGTGATAATGTTGCTTACGTTCGTCCAGCCATGATCATCCTTAGTGTTTGTTTAGCTAAAATGACCGACCATCT